CGGTCTCCAAGTTCCTCCACTCCATGCCAGCAAAGTACATCCAGATCGCTCTCTCCATAGAGACGATGCTGGACTTGTCCACCCTCACCATTGAGGATGTGGCAGGCCGTCTGCGGGCGGTGGACGAGCGCCTGGGGCAGGCGACAACAACGAAGGACAACGGGAAACTCCTGCTGACGGAAGAGGATTGGGCTGCTCGGCGAAACTCCGGGAAGGCAGCCTCCTCCAGTCGCGGTGGCAAGGGCAAGCACCGAGACGGGGCTTCTTCGGAGAAGAAGCACATCGACTCCAACGCCTGTCGGTGTTGCGGGAAGATGGGCCATTGGGCACGGGAGTGCCCAAATTGCAAGAAGGAAAAGAAGGCTCAGGCTCACCTAGCGAAAGCCGATGATGAGGGTGAGGCCACTATCCTTATGGCGACGTTCTGTGCACTGCACGACATCGAGGCCGTGGAGAGGGAAGAGGCTACAACGGTGGAAGGATCTAGCAAGGCCCTGAAGACCGTCAACCTCGATGAACCACACGCCCAAGTCCATCTCAGGCGTGTGGGCGCCGACCAAGAGCAGTCGTGGTATCTAGACTCTGGTGCCAGTAACCACATGATGGGCTCCAAGGACTCCTTCTCCGAGCTCGACGGCGATGTTACCGGGTACGGAGAAGTTTGGTGACGACTCAAGGGTGGCTATCCAAGGGCGCGGCACCATCATCTTCAGATGCCAGAATGGGGAGCACCGCGTGCTAACGGATGTATACTACATCCCACAGCTGCGTTCCAGCATCATCAATATTGGTTAGCTGGATGAGCGCGGTAGCGAGGTTCTAATCAAGGACGGCGTTCTGAGGATCAGAGATCGGGAGCAGCGACTTCTCATCAAGGTGAAGAGGTCCCTGAACCAATTGTACCTGCTCAACCTAAAGGTAGAGCAGCCGGTTTGCCTGGCGGCAAGGCACTTCGAGGAACCGTGGATGTGGCATGCCCGGTTTAGACATCTCAACCTCGACGCACTTGGTCGGCTGGGGAAGGTGGTCCGAGGGCTACCCCACATCAAACACGGAGGCGAGCTATGTGACAGCTGCCTGGCCGGGAAGCAGAGAAGGCTACCGTTCCCAAAGGCGGCCAAGTATCGCGCGAAGGAAGCTCTCGAGCTAGTTCACGGTGACCTCTGCGGGCCGATCACGCCTGCTACATGCGGTGGTCGGTGGTACTTCCTCCTACTCATGGACGATTGCAGTCGCTACATGTGGCTGCAACTCCTTACAAGCAAGGACGAAGCGGCGGTGGCGATCAAGAAGTTCAAGATGCGCGCGGAGGCCGAGAGCGGCAAGAAGCTCCACGTACTGAGGACTGATCAGGGTGGTGAATTCACTTTGGTGGAGTTTGCTACGTACTGCGCAGATCAGGGTGTGGGACAACATCACACCGCGCTGTACTCGCCACACCAGAATGGCATGGTGGAGCGACGGAACCAGACAGTGGTCAGCATGGCCCGATCCATGATGACGGCCAAAGGGATGCCGGCAAAGTTCTAGGGAGAGGCGGTGACCACGGCGGTGTTCATCCTCAACCGTGCTCCAACCAAGGCCCTAACGGGCAAGACGCCGTTCGAAGCTTGGTACGGGAGCAAGCCGAACGTGTCATTCCTCCAGACATTCGGTTGCATCGGCCATGTTAGGAAGACCAAGTCGAACCTCACCAAGCTGGAGGACAGGAGCACACCCATGGTGTTCCTGGTCTACGCGGAGGGTACCAAGGCGTACCGGCTCTATGACCCACGCGGAGACAAGGTGACTGTCTCGCGCGACGTTGTGTTCAACGAGGAGGTGGCTTGGGACTAGAACAGTCCGAGCATGGGGAAGCAGGAGGCTTCCCCAACACCTTCATCGTCGAGCACTTGGTCATCCATGGCGGTGGAGACGCTGCTGAAGCAGGTGCCACGCACTCGGGGAGGCGCCGAGCACTCTCAGTGATGTAGAGTCGAGCACTTCTAGGGCGGTCTGGCCGAACACTTACGGAGGGATGCCGAGCACTCCGGGAGGAGTGTCGAGCACTTTGGAGGGGATGCCGAGCACGCCAGAGTGGAGCCATGAGGTTCTGCAGTGGTGGCGAACACTTCAGGACGGGTGCCGAGCACTCCCATGGCGGAGCCAAGACGTCTTACTGTGGTCCCAACCACTCCAAGACTGAGGCTAGGCACTCCTACAATGTGGCCGAACACTGCAGGAATTATGACGAGCAGTCCAGAAGCAGTGCCGAGCACTTCGGGTGCTATGCAGGGCACTCCGGCGGAAGAAGGAACTCCATCACCTCCGATCAAGTTCGCCTCACCTCCAAGTGACATCACTGAGTTCGTGGACGCCTACCACGAAGGTGAGGAGTTGAGATTCCGCAGGCTGGACGACATCGTCGATGGCACAGGTCCCTCAGGTCTGGTGGGTAGGCTGCTCAACGACGCAGAGCTGCTACTCGTCAGTGTAGAGGAACCACCCACATTCACGCTAGCCGAGCGCGATGGAAACTGGCAATGGGTGATGCTGGAGGAGATGAAGGCGATCGAGGAAAACGAGACTTGGCAGCTCATCGATCCACCTCTAGGATGCCGTCCGATCAGCTTGAAGTGGGTGTACAAAGTCAAAAGGGACGAGCTCAGCGCCATTGTCAAGTACAAGGCGCGCCTCATCGCCCGAGGCTTTGTCCAGCGCGAGGGCATCGACTTCGAGGAGGTCTTTGCGCCAGTAGCGCACATGGAGTCGGTCCGTTTGTTACTTGCTTTGGCGGCAGCAAAGGACTGGCGCATCCATCACTTGGACATTAAATCGACTTTCCTCAACGGCGAGCTGGCGGAAACGGTCTTCGTCAGGCAACCTCTAGGGTTCGCTATCAAGGGAGAGGAGCACAGGGTGCTCCGACTGTGCAAAGCGCTCTACGGGCTACGGCAAGCCCCTTGAGCGTGGAACGCCAAGCTTGACGCCATGCTGGGTGAGCTTGGGTTTCAAAGGTGCGCAACCGAGCACGCACTCTACACGCGACGACGGGGGAAGGAAGAGCTCATGGTCGGCCTGTATGTGGATGACTTAATCGTCACCGGCGCGCGCACGGAGGATATCAACAGCTTCAAGCGAGAGATGGTAGCTCATTTCTGAATGAACGATCTCGGCGCTCTCTCCTACTACCTAGGCATCGAGGTGAGACAGGGGAAGGAGGAACTCACGCTCAGGCAAAGCGCGTATGCCTCCAAGCTGTTGGAGAGGAGCAGCATGGTGGAGTGCAAGCCATGCATGACTCCGATGGAGGAGCGGCTAAAGCTGACGAAGGACAGCACCGCGGCGAAAGTGGATGCAACACTCTACCGGAGCATCGTCGGCGGTCTGCGCTATCTAGTCCACACAAGGCCGGACATTACGTTCATCGTGGGCTACGTCAGTCGCTTCATGGAGGATCCCTGAGAGGATCACTGGGCTGCGGTGAAATGGCTGCTACGCTACGTCAAGGGGACGGTGAATCATGGAATCATCTTCCCAAAGACCGGGGTAGTAGGCTACCGGCTCACGGTATTCAGCGATGCGTAACATGGCGGGGACATCGACGACGACGGAGCACCTCGGCATGCTCGTCTTCCTCGTGTCAGCCCTAATTTCATGGTCGTCGCTAAAATGAAAGATGGTGGCGCTATCTACATGCGGCGGCGATGCGTAGCGGCCGCCCACGGCGACGTGCCAAGTTGTGTGAATACGCCCGGTTGCTAAGCGAGCTAACGGTGTGAAGCTCACCCACCAAAGCGACGGTGGACAACCAGCCCGCCATCGCCCTCGTGAAAGAATCCAGATTACGCACGACGACTAAACACATCGGCGTAAAGTTCCACTTCCTCGTGGACTGTGTTGATGGAGGAAAATCGTCATCGAGTTCGTCGAACCGCTTTTCGGCGGCTCGCGGACGTCCTCACCAAGCCGCTTCGGACGACGACTTGACTCATGGAGCTGAAGGAGATGATCGGCATGGAGAAATACAAGGGGTTAGCGATAGGATTAGGGAAGATTGTTAGCTAATCTATCGCCACCTTGTATGAACACACAATGAGAGGAAAGCGGCGCCGACTTAGCCGCTTCTTGTGTGTGAACACAACAAGGGAAAGGCGGCGCCGACTTTGCCCCTATTTGTGATCTTGTAGCAGCTGCGGTGTAGGCGCCGCATGGCTCACTGCGACCTTCAGAGGAACAAGCAGTGGCGGCGGCGGCAGAGTCGACCACAACCGGGTTATCTAGTTATTGTGCAAAGATGGGCGCTGCACATGGACTAGATAGTTAGAGTTGTATAAATAGACATGTATGGCAACTCAGTAAAGAGAGCTCAGATTTGCCATCACACAGACAGGGCCTCGGCCAACGCTGTTGTCTTGTATTGTGCGTGCTTGCTCTATTCTCCCTTCTTCTCCCAACTCCGTCTGTAGTGTGTGGGTACGGACAACGCCGGTACGTGGTCTGCACGGCTAGTGGGTGCTCGGAAACACTAGCGCGTGCTCGGCGAGACCGTCAAGTGCTCCACTCGCCTGAGCCGGTGCTCGGCAAGATCGGCTAGAGTGGTTCACTGTCGTGAGTCGGTAATCCTGTGAGACCAACGGAGTGGTCTGGAGGCCATCTTGGTGGTCTAGAGGCTATCTGTAGTGGTCAGAGGCCATCTCGGTGGTCTGTAGGCTATCTGTAGTGGACGGGAGGCTAACTATGAGCCAACAGTCCACACCCCGCCGGACCTGGCCCTCGAGGGGATCCACGCCACCGTCGCCGCGCCGGCCCCCGTCGACCTCATCACCGTCGCATCGCGCAGGCCTTCCACTGGCTCGACCTCCCACGCTTCTACGCACAGGCCCGCTCCGTGCTGCGTCCCGACCACGGCATGCTCGCCGCCTGGTGCTACACCGAGCCACGAATCGACAGCACCGTCGACGCCATGTTCTGGCGCCTGTACCACGGGTCGGAGAACTACTGGGCGCTCAACCGCCGCGATGGTCGACGACGAGTATCGAGCGCCGACTTTCCGTCTTGACCCGATCGAGGGGAGAGCGCACAGCCCGTTCGAGTTCTCCATGCAGCGGCGGAGGATGGACCTGGATGACTACCTCCTGTACATCACGTCGTGGTCCGCGTACCAGACGGCCAAGGATAAGGGCGTCGAGCTGCTCGATGAGGCCACCGTGCAAGAGTTTGCGACAGCATGGGGTGGCGATGGGAAGGAGGTGAAGACTGTCACGTACCCCATCTTCCTCAGGATTGGCAAGGTGAGGCCAGAATGAAATGAAGATGATGCACGGAAAAGAAATAACTCGACAAATTATGGATACTAGTCCATCACGCGCGCCCTCGCGCACATCGACGAATCACCTGGTTAAGGCGCTGGTAAAAAAATATATATTCAATCTTTGTATGGAAATAATATTAGGGGAAGCCCTCGCGTGCATCTGCGAATCACCTGGTTAAGACGCTGGTAAAAAATATATGTTCATTTTTTGCATAGAAATAATATTAGGGGGAGAAGTTTAATGTAGATATGTCATGCACATAAACCGAAAGATTTAAGTTCTTTTTATATGGTGCAGGACACATCTATTCTGCATACTTTTCAGATCATGGCATTTTCTATGCGTGGTAATCATAGACACGGCATTTCTAGATCAGTGCGTGGTAATCATAGACACGGCATTTCCAGATCATACACATATCTGAATTTCGCACTGGGATGGAGTCTATTATGGAATTCTGAAATCTTGGAGAGTAACAATGCTCATACATTTAAACAAATTTGAGTTCCATTCCAAAGGAAATCAAATCATAGGGTGCAAAACGTAGAAAATAAAAACTCCACTCCAACCCAAGAGAAATAATCTTTGCTCTCACTCTTGCTATGCTTGCTCACATTCCTGTACCGTCTTCCAACCATTCCAAACATCTGTGTTTTAGAATCTATAGTTTTTCATTAGCCACTATATCCTATTTTAGTTTTTTTTCCAATTTATCTATTTTGCATTCCTTTGTTCCAGACAAGCCCTTGCTGTCAGCAAAGAATTGTTAGATAGTTGACATAGATATACTTCTTAGTGGGCTTCTCCTGGTGTTTTACGCGAGGCTTCTCCGGCGTCTCTTGTTCTTCCCAGCAGCATGTGCCTCACCCGCTCCTTCGATGGTCGTTGCACCTTCATTTCCCACTTCAGCAATGATAGGGTTAGTGCTACTGATAGTATAGTGTGACATTACGATACCACCCAAGAACACTGAGAATGGCAGTCAAATTAGGCAACTGCCATAAAAAACAACCAGTAAATATCAATTGCACCTGCATTTATGTTTTTTCCAAAAAAAATATCTACATGGGGTTCATAGTACAGGGGTGGTCATTTTGGCCAGCATGTAAGATGAAGAAAGCCATTACCATCATGTAATGAAAACATCACGATCAATGGAAGAAAGAAACCTAGGCAATAGTTAGAGGAGGAAGCGGTAGACAAGCTGGCGCTACTCAAAAATGGTGCTGGTCATGAACAGATAAAGGGATGGCAATAAATTCCAGTAATTCGGCCCTACTGATATCGCCAAATTCATAACAGAAGTTCTTACAATTCAAAAATGACAAGAAAAAAGGAAAGAAAAAAAGGTTTGGCATGCTGCTAAAGCACATTCATTCTGTATTTTGTTATTTTAATGTACACTTGTATATTTTTGTATATTAAGGATTTTATTATGGATCTAGTACATTTAACTTCATGGAGGTCTAAATCTGAAAAACAATCCCATGACCTTTAGTTGTTAGGAGCATTCATGCATATATCCTATGAACATGCTGCTAGGACATGTACCTTTGCAGTCAATTGTAACACCCTAAAATTTGCAATCTTTTAAAATAGTAAATTTGATTTATTTATGTTATATTACGTGCATTCAAATATAGGAAATTAATAATTTTTTTGTGAAATTAAAATCAATCATAAGTATAGATACATGTTGATGCACTCATGCTGGAGCATTGTAATTAATATGTTGAGTGGTTTGATTTAAACTCAAAAGGATCAAAAAATTATTTGAAAATGGAATTGGAAAATTCATTTGGAAAAAGAAAAGGCTTCTCCTTTTCTCATTCCCTCCCCTCTTTCTATCTGGCCCGCAAGCCCGGCCCGCAAGCCTCCACCTTTTCCCCCTCTTCCCGCTTCCTTCCTGGGCCAGCCCACTCGAGCGGTAGCCCTTTGCTCGCCCTTGACCAAAGAAGCCTGCCTGCCCAAGACTGCAAACAATCGCTTCACCCGCTCCTTCCTTCCCTCAACTGCTTTGCCCCCACCCGTCATGCCCCTCACCTCCAGCCGTCCAGCGTCTGCTTGGGTCAAGCAACCGCCACATAGCCCCCCACTTGACGTGGGGCGTCTTCCCCAGCGCCCGGCCGCTACAAATGGAAGCCCACCCAAGCCGCTTTCCCTGCTGTTTCCCGCTCTCTCTCACGCTTCACGCCGTGTACCTGGCCCCCGCCAGCAGATGAGCGCCGAGGTTTGCCGATCGCCCCCGCCGCGGATTGCCATCCCCGAGCCGCCTCCCTCTCCGATTTTCTCCGTGGTGAGATTCGCCGTGCCCTTCTCTCTCTCCCCTGACCTTTTCCGTGTGGAATATGGTGGCTTTTATGACCATTTTCGAGTGCGCCATGGAGCTCCTTGCCACCGGCCATGGCTGCCACCGCGCCAACCGCCTCCACAGGCCCCATTCTCAGCCTTGCCGAGGTCTCCTTTCTCCCCTCTATCCCCCGGTGTTCTCGGATGCTCAAACCAAGGCCCGTGGCCTGTTACCCCATGCGCCGGTGACCTTCTTACCGCCGGCAATGGTGCCTCACCGCCGGGGACATTGTTTCGGCCACCAGTTCCTTCTCTCTCCCTCCCCAGGTCTAATCCGAGCCCTCCATCCATGATCCAACGGCCGAGAACGTCCGGTACCTCTTCGGAGGTCAAATAGCTAAAGAGACCCTCGGTTTACATCTAATTGAACCCGCAGTCCAAGGCGTAGTTCCCCAAATGCGCATTCTCGTTTGGAAAACGTAAACTTCACGGCTTAAGTCAAAAATACGTTTTCAGTATTTACAGAAATGCCATTTGAACTGTTTCGTTTATAAAATTGTCGTTTTAGCTCCGAATTGATCCATTCAAATCGCGTTAGCTTCGTAATTCCATAATCTACATGTTAGAACCACTGTTAGTCAAATTTGGAACTTTTTAATTTTCTGGTTGGATGTAATTAAATATATTGCTATAGGAAAACCCATTTAAATCATAACTTTCGCATTTTAGCTTTGTTTTTCGTGAATTTTGCGTTGACGTGATCGTAGCGAGACGTAGATTATTTTCACAAACCTATTATCTTATTTTCTATACTGTTGGTGTACTGTTCTAATAATAGGAATGTTTGCTTTGCATGAATGCTTTTGGAATGTTGTATGTTGCCGTGTTGGTCGCGTTCAGACGGTGAGGAGAACGTTGGAGATCAGGAATTCTTTGACGACCAGCAGGACCAACAAGAGTTTGTGAACCAAGGCAAGTATAGCATGGGCCTACCTTGATGTCCTATTCACTTTAATCATTTACTCATGTGCATGTGTCTAATTTTGATAACCCTAAGGACATTCTAGACATGTGATGACTTGTTCCCTTGACTCTTATGGGTTAATTGCATATGGGTAGATTGCTAGTGCTCTAACTGAACATGATCTATTTGATGGTGAATGGTTCTATGGAACTAAAGGTAAAACATGCTTTATAACAACTGATCCATAGGGCGATGGTGCAAATGACTTTTGATCATATTGCTCTCGGCCCTCCATAAGGACTTATCTGTCGGTAAAAGCTGGGACTGACAGTGCAACCGTGAGGGTCATATGGCTCTGACTTTTGCTCAGTAATAGGACCTTTTCTAGCTTGTTAGAAGTTACCTTTATGGCGCAAAAGGGGCTTGCCACGTTGGATATAGGACTGCCTCTGTTTCTATGTGTATAGCCGCGATGGATATGTGCCATAGGAAAGGGGGGTTCCTATATCTACATGCCAAGGAAACCTAGCGGCCCTAACTTGTTAGAGAAACCTATGAAATGGCTTCATAGTGTACCCTGCCCGCTCACCTTGGTAGTGATATGGGAGTAATTAACCCGGGCAAATGGGAATCACGACTCATGGTGAATGTGCACCACCTCTGCAGAGGGTAACAAACTGTTATAACAGTCGTGCTCACGGTCACGAGCGGCCCGGAAAACTCACAGAATAGATGGCTACTTATAATGTTGTTTATACGAGATGATTATGATGATGTCACATAACTCAATTGGATTGGATATATGATCACGTGGGTTTAAATGGGAGCTTAAGCATAACTTGATAATAGTTGAGGATAAAATCTTGACTTACTAAAAGTGCTAACTGCAGTAAACCAGTGTCAACCTTTTTGAGCTTCATAACCCCATGTTATCTTGTTGAGTACGGGACGTACTTACACTTGTTTACTTTCTATATTTGGATAAAAATCCCAGATGGGTAACAGATGACAACGGATATGAGGAGTTTCCTGAGGATTATTAGGCTTGTGGTCAACCAGTCAACTGTCCCTGTGATGGAGTTCCACGAGAGAGTTATCTTTTTATCTTCCGCTGTGTTATGTAAGATAATGTGATGCTATTATTCGTTATGTAAGATACACCATGATGATACTTTTTCTAATTTGTCAACTTATGTGTGTGACTGATCCCTGGGCACACATGAGTTTAGTGCATTCAATTTTATCCTTAAAATTGGGTGTGACAAATTGGTATCAGAGCAGTATTGACTGTAGGAAGCAAGCCTAGTTAGAAACTGGTCGTTTTAAGGTTTAGATGTTGCTACAAAAACCCTTGCTCTATGAACCTTGATATTTTCTTCTATACTATATCTCTACCTTTGCTATTCATCTCTACCTTGGTGCTTATTTTAAAATCTTTGTTCTCATCTTCACTCCTTGATCTGATATGCTTTTAGAACTTCTCCTTACCACCTTTTTGCGTAATCCTAAGATGAGTCTTCAGATTGTTACCCCTAGCACAATAAAAACGATAGTATCGTAAGTTGAGTCAATGATTGAATTGTGCATCTTTATTGATTGTCGAATTATCATTATGCTTATAATTGTTTTGAATCTTTGTAATGATTGCAATGATCTTGTTGGGTGTTCCCACAATTTTATTTAGTTTATAGGCCTAAGGTTTAAGGATTAATGAAATAAATAGTCGGGTTTTGGTTTTCTT